AGAAGGTGAAAAATTGTTGTAAAGCGCGCTGTGTTGCATGATAAAAAATATGTTTCTCAGCTTCAAGTGATAATTAATTACAGAAATGGTGTGTTCTCAATGAACTTGACTATATACCAGCGCTAGAATGAGGGGAATGGGATAGTTACCACTAAAAACATGAGTAAGAAGTGAAAAAGAAAGGTAAGGCTGAGCTTTAAGTGTCTCAGTCATAGTGGTCGAAGTTCAAGTTCTTGAGCCTTGTCCCGTAAAAAAGTGCTTCACCATGGGTTAATAGGCACTGACTAAGGTTGGGCTGAACTTTCTTAGCTTGAATCCTGTCAGAAGCACCCATATAATCAGAGTTGATTGTGCAGTATGAAGTGGACCAAAGCTTCGTGCACCAGCAGCCTTTCCCAGATAAGAATGTTTTGTGCAGATAAACAGCAAGTTATCTGACTTCAAGGACAATAGGCTGAGCGAATTCTGTAAAGATTCAACTCCCAGAGTAAGGGTGTGAAGGTTTTCAGCATAAAAAGGGGAAAAAATGCACTGAACCTATTTGGGTCTTCGTCATGATTACGCACGCAGTCATAATTTTTCTGACCGCGAGTCACTCTTGATTTTTAACAGGGTGTAGAGAAGCACTGGTTGACCGGAGTGTAGTTGTTTGTTTTGGCCATGTTATGACCTGACAATTAGTCCTTGGCGTCATTATCAGCACCGATATGTGATGGCGGGATAGTCGGCTGACGCTTCACCGCAAGAAACTTGTTAACACGATCTGTGTGGTGACAATCTGGTTTTACCCAATGGTTTCAAGACTTTCTGTCACGAATGCCCCAGCTCTGTTAAGAAACTTGAGGCTGGTGTAGCTGCCCTCACCATTACCTGCCGGCACACTTCGGGCTACTTATGCTCGAAATTTTCAAATTATTTTGCAGACTGCATCGCTGTAAAATGCCCCCTAAACATTAGGACAAGTACCGTCTTATCTACACCATAAATATTCATGTGACTCCCGGTTGCAGTCACTCGAAATTATATTCACGGGACTCACAGCTTCAATACTGTGTGGTTCCCTATTGATAATATCTAGTGGTTTCAATTTTTGTGGTCACTGCCCTCTCACAAGTGGTTATCAAAACCTCGTCAACTTCACAACACGTCAAGATGCAACACTAAACTCGACACTAGTCAATGATGCTGGTATATGTGAAGCCCTAAAGAGAACCCCTCTGCTCATTTCAGGTTATTGCATTACGCGTCTTTGTCCAAAATGAATGGCAGGCGTCCTTCACATACGGGTACAAGAAAATCTCACACTGAAGCTGTTCGCGAAGCAACATACTTTACCTGAAAGAAATGATACAAAGAGCAGACTGGAATTTATTTGACGGCTTAGTTTCTAAGGGCACTACTGATGACATGGTGTGCTATCTGGAGTTACGCGAAGGCATCTGTTGTTCCACTGAGAATATGTTTCCACTCTACGATGGCCAGTCTTCTACCCATCTTAAGAGAAAAGGAAAAGGTCATGCGAAGTAATTTACAACTCTGATGCTCGTCCATTGAACTTCTTAGTTAGGTCGAAAATTAAACCTTTCAAAGACCTCGCTGACAGTAAATACCTTGGTAAGGAAGCATGTGTTGACTTCTGTGCCTCAAACAAATCGTCTAAACTTCAACTCGTCAGTCACATCTCTACTTGTTCGTCCAGATCCAAAGAATAATGCTGTCCAGAATCCCCCAACAGGTGTCCTCAAATGTTTTAAATCCCTGAACCATCCAGATCATTTGGGTAAGGATGGCGTACCAAATATTATATACAAAAAATTTCCTGATATATTATGCCTTCCATGAACCGACGTCTTTAATGGATAATTTTCAAAAGGTACTGGGATAGTCCTCGTACTTAAGCCAATGATTTCTCGTGGAATTGCTTCTTAATTCTTGAAAATAATGGAGAACCTAACAATGCACGTGCATAAACTCTCCTGGAGGGTTTCCAGGTATCTTAACCAATTTTCACGCAAAAGCGAGGACATTCTGGATGTCACTGCTTTCTTATATCACAATATTGCTTTCAGTCTTGAAAGAAATGCCAAGTAAGCCAGGAGAGTCTTTTTAAACTATACTTCATCGTATGATTCTATAAAATCCTCCTTTGCTGGACAAGGTGTTGAGAATCCGCACTCAGCCCTGGATAACCGACTGCTTGCACTTCTAAGGAAGCAACAAATTGTTTGCAGGGGGGGGCACTTCACCCTATTGCTTGCCCCAGCTGGCGTTCGCCATGATGCTGTCTTTCCCCCCAGTGTTGCCCGTTTCCTTCTGCATAACTTGCCGTCTTCTGCCATCATCAATTTTGTCAAATATGTTGATGGCCTGGGGATTTAGTTTCCTGCCTTCTCCCAAGTGAACGATCTCCTATCTACAGTTAGACGATGGTCCGCCTTGAATGGTAGTTTACTTAATTCTTCAAAAAATAAACTTTGATTTCAGAGGCAAACATCACAAGCGCAAACTGCTGAACTCTCACAATTTCTGTCCTCTTGATAGTCGTGTTTTAGCGAATGTCATGACCGTGATTTATGTTGGCCTATGATTCTCTTCAATCTTCTTCTAGCCCTCTTGTGTCTTGTTTATTTGTAAAACGATCTTCCTCTCGTCTTCTTCATGAGGAAGCTGAAGGTATCTGGTATAACTCAGCATCTCCTCTTATGTTTTAGAAACTCCGGTGTCTTGCTTCTTCTCCTCTGTCGTTTCTCTTTATTCTTTACTGAGTTGCAGTAAAAGACTAGGCCGTATCACACAGAACTTTGGAGATTGTCAGCAGAACCAGTGGGTGTGGGCATATGAACTATGGTCCCAATGACAATACCCAAAAAGTTCGTTTTGTGAGGATTTTTCACCTTTCTCTAACCTAGTCCCCAATTTGATCACAGCATTCACTCTGTGAATCATAGCCCCCAGAAATACATCAGGTTAGATATTTGCTACCCATCACTTGAGTTACTCAGTGCAGATTCCTGTCCGTTACTGTTCCTTAAGACCGCTACTAATAATGCCGAAGCACTCCACTATGGCTACAAGGAATACAGAGCCTCCGAATGCCAATAATGAACATCCTGGCCTGGATAACGCCGAAGACAATTGTCCGCTCTGGAACCTTGTGTTTGCTTGTACAGCTTCTTCAGAATTGTCCACAGTGTCTGCAGCATAAACACTTCAGAGTCCACCAAAAGTACATAAAATAGTGTCACTACAGTTTTGCGCCATACTGCTCCCACATCCAAAGTCAATGAACGAACACGAATCACCATGGCAAAAACATGGTGGACCAACGGAACCAAACGAGGGCGGGCGCCCCGTTGCCAGAAAATCGACGAAAACTGCCGTCAGAAACCTTGTTCTCTGTCTATCGAATCCCAAGTGGTGTAACGGCATCAGCTGAATTATTAGAAATTAACTATCAGAAAACTGATGCCATCCATTCCAACTCATAAGTGTGCAATTTATCAGACTCCGTTTTTTTCAAATCATTCAGATTCCCAATTATAACGCTACATCCACTCCTGCCTTTCCCATAACTAGTATTCACAGACCCTGAACCATTTGAGCTTCTGAAGTCTTTGGCAAGAGCCATTTTTGGTACCTTCTGTTATCTTCCGTTACCACTGTTTGATACTTCGGCACACGGAGATTAAAAATTTCAACCACGCAGTGGAGTTCTTATATAACCAAGGAACTAGGGATAAGTATACACATCGTCACCTGACTTTTCTACTAGCAGAACCACTAGTTGTACTATGCACTTGCTTCCAAATGCTTCATTGTTTCGAGAAGATCCTTGTTTTGTCTCAGCAGACATTTTATTACTTGTTCTGGTATCTGGAACCTTAGTATTTCCAGATTCTTCGCAGTCAGACACCCCGACAACTCCCTGCTCATAAACCTTGGTTTGTCAATGAATTTGGCGGCGTCGTTGTCAGACATTCGGATCATGAACATGAATTGGTTCACAGCGGAATTTGTATAACCAGGGAACTACTTTCTGCTGCGTCACTTGTGTGCCACTGGAGCCGGTCTATCACGAACCCGGTCAAGACAATTGCCTCGGCTTCTTCATTCCATGCACTCCTCCGCAGTGAGGCAACGGGCTGGCAGATAACAGTTATTCTAAAATCAGAATACAACTAGAGGTGAAGAGACGAAAATGTCCCGAACGCTAAACAAACCTTAGAAATTTAGTCAAGAGATTTATAAAATAGATTTTGAACTGGATACGAGATTATCAGAAAGCTTTCTATGCCTTTACTCCAACATTTCTACAACTAACGTAAAAATAGTTACTCACTTCCGTAGAGATTTATCCTTCTAGTTTTCTTCGCATCTTAAACCTTTTTTGACGAAGATGGAAGCCAATGGCTTGGTGCTGTCAGACTAGGCAAAACTATTTTTTGTCGTCACCTACATTATACAAATTTCATCAGCACCCACTCACCCATCGAATTTAGCGAGTGGGTAGATCTACTGCATCAAAATTATAAGTGACCTGAGGTTGGTTTTTACAAGTTATAATCAAATGATTGGACATTCTGGGGTCTGAATCATCGTCCTTGAAGTCTTGGTATTGCGGGTGGTATAAAGGTGGGAACTTGGAGCGGATTTTGAGTCTTTCAGGAAATGAACCCTGGCAGGCTGGTGGAAGTCAAAAGCAAGGTATTTTCATTTCATGAAAAAGATTTGTGGTTTTAGTTTGACGCTGAATTTAGACGTTTCAGTTTTGTGATAGAAGACTCCTTGCAATACAATGCTTTTTATTCCTTGCTTGAACGTATTCATATGCTCTTCAATATCCCTTTTGTTATTCAATATGTGGAGCCGAAAAATTCGGATCTGTTACCAATCAGTAATAACAAAAACTTCGAGGTTGCTGTAAACTCTTCAAAGTCTTTGCTCAGAATCTTGCTCCAGAGAAAGGGTGCGTAAATTTTTGTAATTTTATTTTGTGATAGGTGAGAGTTATGGTGAATTGTACGGCTACAAAACTACTAAGCACGGTCTTTTACATCGAGATGCAGCTAACACATTAAGGAATTTTGGTGGAAGTGGCAAGCATCGTCGATCGGAAAAGCCTCTAATAAGTGTGCTCAGCGACTTCCATTTAGTTTCATCCATCTTGGACGTTGATATCATACCTTGGACATTAAGAAGGTAAATAATTTGTGTATCATAACCATCACATGTGGCCCAATATTAACAGGTGTTTTAAATAGCCAAGTTTGACTGTCGACTGTTAACTTCGTAATACCATACGTTATGTAAACTCAGTAGGCTGGTTTAATTCAGCCTAGCAGTGGTTATCTCTATGAAGATATGGTTTGTGCTCGAATGGAATAGTGGATGATGAGAATACTGATTGATGGGATAAAAACTTCCAGTCATTCAGTACACGCTGGGACAAACCCTAGTTCGACACTTTTTTAATTTTTAGTTATGGATTCTGAGAATGAATCGTAGAGGAAGAGATTAATTAGTTTACATCAATACTGAATTCTTCATAAGGGATGAGAAATGCATATATGAGACCACTTTTCTATCAGAACAGTCATAATCAGCGTATGACATCACAAGTGTATCGCCCCATGTTGCCACACTTCACAGTAGCTTAATGATAACAATTGGTTAATATTGAAGTGAACAAAAGTGTATAGAAGGAGAATGAATTTGAAAACAAAGGTTAGTGGAAATGTCCAAGCCTTAAAAAACATCAAAGAGTGACTGCATCTGCATTATTGTGACCGGTTTTGAGTTACGCCACCGAAGGTCTCGAGCCACTGATTCTCATCGTCTCAGCGACTCCAACCAGATAATCTACATCTATACATGACTCAAACCAACAGTCAGAGACTTCACAAACTAATGCCACTTCTTGGCCTAGCCATCCTGCGTCTTCGAATTAATCCGAATTCTGCCAGCATTGCACGCCGAGGCGGGTAATAGTTCGGCATGCACAACACATCCGAGACATAGTTGGAGGACCCAGTCGTTTTTAACGCTTCCCACGGTAGGTTGCAGAGACGTACCACCACTTTAGTACTTTCAAGTATACCTTTCCTGAATAATGAATTGTCCGCCTGAATGCAGTTTTATATCAAAATGTTGTTTATACTGAATAGCGTTCTAAAGATATTGCGATTAGATCTTTTTAAATCTGCATGGGGACCATAAAACATGGAAATCTTTCGCTGCTTTACGGCCGCATATCTGTCAGTTTAAACACTAGGTTATAGTTATTCTAATGGAATACTGGTTACAGTTACTATCATCAGTACGCGTTATTGCACTTTCTCTGGTGTTTATTTTTAGGTAACAAAGTATCAGATTCTACCAGTGACCAGTTCATCTAAGTCCACCTGTAGCACTAACCCATCTGCATCACTTCGGACAACTTCAGATTTTTTTTCACTGGTGGTTAAGGGTTCCGAAAAAAAAACATTTTCCGTAATTCATTAACATGCAGCAAGACGGAATGGTTGCATAACTTTCTTGAGGGATCTCACTCGTTACAAATCTCCAGTTAGTGTTGCATTTACTGTCACTCCTCTCCCCCTTCTGTACAGAACCTCCCTAATTTAGGCCTTCAGTATTGTCCAATGTAAAAGTCGTGAGCTTACCCAGCAATTAAGCTTATGCACGCTGTTTAAAGCCCTACTGAGGTCTATGAACACAGTCTCTCCAAGCAGACTGCTGTCACGATTTACTTTCATTCCTCTTTCAAGACGAGATTCATAAGCAGAAGTTTCCTGCCTAAATACCGTGTACATGTGATATCGAAAGATTATTTGATTCAATATATTCCACCACCTTATAGCAAATTATCTTTCGGAAACCTTTACGACTACAAAGTAAATTCACGGGATTGTTTTTGAATAATAATTTGTGATTTCATGTCATAACGACTGGTCTGATTATGGAGTTCTTTCTGTCTCTAGGCAGGGGGGTTTTACGTGGGGGGACATGTTAACAGCACAAAAGTGTCTGCTAGGGCGATACAAACATACAAATCTTCATGACCCATATATTTCCCAAGCTGGATACCTTGTTACGTACACTGGAGTCCTTGGCGAATAGTTGTAGGGGAGCTACGTGGTATATTACTGTCTTGGTCTACCAAGGATACTTCACCAAAGTATTCTGATAAGTATTCAGGTTCTTGTAAGTTTGATTCCACCAAGCCGTCTAACCTCCCACTGATTACGTGGATGAGATTCCATCCTTTGTTTTCATCTTCGTTCTAATAATAAATATTATTATTAGAACACAAACATGGTACAGCAAAGGCCACCAAGAAGTGTGCCACAAAATAATGTAACAATATTTTGAAGACATAAAGTGAAGGGAAGTGGATAAAAGGAAAAACACAATAATAATAGAATGGTTAGAAGGGTAATCCAGTAAGATACATTCAAGACAAAACATTACTTTTCAGCAACAGAAGTTAAGAGAAAACTACATCATGACTGCCTCTGGTTTCGATTCTGAGCCATATCTGATAACATTTCAAGCTGCTGAGTTACTTGGTCTCTTGGACCCCACCCAGGGAGTCGTGATGCACCAACAGATTCTAACGTGATAGAACTATTTTTCATCCTACGGCGCCATTTCATACACTGAAAACCCCTCCGCTCCTTCCATCCAGTCCAAGAACCAGCAAACAATGAACGGTATTGAAGCTGTTTGTGTTGACATGCGTAACACATGTCCACTTATTGAATGACGATCTCCATCATACCCAAACACACGCTAACGTACCCCAGAATTACTTACATGGTGTTACCACCCGATGCGAGCGATCCTGAGGAGACAAAGATGATCGAACACGGAGTTGTCACACATCCTCAGCTCGGAGAGGCCAGGTTTCACGGACGTAGAGCAGAACTGCTCCCGCTGAAGCGTTGTAAACCCGAACTTTTACGATCAGACTAACGTCGTAACGATGCCAAACGTCGGCCAGATTGGCTTTTAATATGCGGTTGGAAATTTCATCACACCTCCATCACCACCGACGCAAATACCCAGATACGCGAACCATTCGTCTACTTTCAACCGCTTACCGTCGAGAGTAAGTGCAGTCACATGCTTCTGGCAATTTTGCAAAAGTACTTTGCGCTTCGATGGTGCAAAGCACATACCATACTTACGGACACCAGCTGACGAAGTGCAATTTGAGTAGCCTGTGCGTTATCGCACATTATGACGATATCGTCCATATATTCAAGGTCGAATAGCCGTTCCACGGGTAGTAGATCTACACCACCATCACTCACCTTCAGAGCTGTCTCAAGAATGTTATCAATAGCAAAGTCAAAGAGGAATGGAGAAATCGGGCAACCCTACCTGATCCCACTGCTGGTTTGGAACAATGAAGGCAGGTGTTTGTACGCCCTCACTCTACCTGAGGTGTTATTATATAGGGCTTTCAAGATGTTAATGAATTTCTCGGCACACCCCTCCCCAACAGACAGTTCCAGAGTATAGCTCTCCAACGAATCGAAGAAATTCCTAATGTCAAGAAACACTACGGTTGTTGGCCTGCAATGCGTGTGGCGATGTTTAAGCATCTGATAAGGGGTAAGCACATAATCAATGCAGCCATGACCTGAACGAAACCCGGCCTGCTTCTCGCTTATCATTTCCCCACATGTTTTGCAAAGTATGATAGTAGACAATATTTTCGATGCGACTGCTAATAGACTAATACTCCCGGTGATTGACACACATAATACGTAGAGCCTTTTTAGAGATGGGTACAATGATGATCTCATTTCAGAGTAGTGGAACACTCGCAGTCTGCCATACCTCCTCGAATAATCTAGTCAGTTCCATGACTAGAGTCGTCCCTCCATCCTTCAAAAGACCGGGAATAATTTGTCTAGGCCGAGTACCGTGTGGCGTTTGAGAACTTAGAGTTCCTTAAAGACCTCTGCTTTGTTAGGTGGGTAAGTGTTAATTGACCATGCAGCACCACACACTGAAAATGAAGATGCTGGAGCAATGGGCCAGTTAAACTCCCTTTCAAAGTGCTCCACCCAGCGTTCCTGGCGTCCTTAAAGATTGTTTATCGGCGTACCATCTACCTCACAGATATTGATGATGACAGATCGTCTAATTGATGAGAACAGTCTTTTAAAGCATTTTTGGCAGTCACTTATGAACTGTCTTTGATATGCTATTCGACGTCTTGTAATTGCAGTTAAGCATTGATTTAGAAACTTGCAGTACTCAGTTTTCATGTCTTCAGTCTTTTTTCAAGACCAAAATCCGCATTCGTTTTCTACTTGATACTCTTTAAGTATTCTTATCAAATCATGGGGAGTGACGTCAAAGTCTTCTTGGGGTCGACAATGGGATAAATCTAATGGCTCTATAGTCCAATATACTTGGGATGTTCTGATGCCACACATTAGTTCTAAAGGAAAAGTGTCATAATCTACGTCATTTGTTTGAAACCTGATGTTAGTACAGTATGATAAGCGTTAATAACCAAGGGGAGGTGCCGGAGGTCACATCTATACACCCTATGAACAAGGTTTCAGTGGCAGTATCCGATCTATAGCTGCTACTTTGACGTGGTGGTAGAGCCTGCTTATCACATTTACCTAACTAGCTTCGCTGGGGAACTGTTCTTCCCTCGAGGTCCTACCACCAGAAAGGTCTGTTGGATAGTGATTAGACGAGAAGCAGTTACTGTTGTGGTGTAAATTGCTGCGCTACGATGAGAGTCAGAGGGCAGAGTTGTACTGTTGGCTGGACGCAAGGTCAACGTAGTGACGACGAACAGCAGTGGATGCTGAGGGTAAAAGAAATGGGAAAGACAGTGGCAATAGGTAACAGTAGATAGCTATTTAGACTTGTCAAGGAAACTGTGGCGAAAATGTCAGTGATTAGTGAGACTATAACGGAGAAGCATGGGTCTGTGATTTACTCACAGGAGACAACGGGAACGAAGGGTGGACCACTTCGACAAACTGTTCAGCTGACCCCCAGCTACTGTTGCGTTACCCTCCATGCAGTCAGCTGGATGGATGGATGCAGTCGGCTACTGAGTGCAACCTCGAGATGAGACTTCAATGCCTACAGAAGTCAATAAACCTGTGAGTGATCTGAAACGAGAAAGAGCTGAAGATCTAGACAGACTAGTTTCAGTGGTA